GGAACAAATGTAAGATCATCTTGAGTATTACTGGAAAAACAAAAGCCCTCTGGACTATGCCTGCAGAAGTCAAGTACCAGCTACTTTCACTGTTCCTCTGACATTTCCTTCTCATCCTGGGTCTTTGAGTTCTACAGAAATGGAGCAAAAGGGTCCTGAAGGAAGATCAAGAGGGAGAGGAGCCTCTTCACAAACCTGACAGCTTTTCCAGAAGGAAGAGCAGAAAAGCTTTTCACTTCATTTTCCATAGTCTAGAATTATAAAATTATAGCATTCTTAAAAATCACTGGAAACAAAGTGTGTATATGGCTTTCAAAATTAGTGAGCAAGATTTATTGTGCAAAAAAAAATGTGACTATCGAGGAGAAATAATATGCCATTAGATTCACGAGTCCCTGGTTGGGCTCATGAAAGCCTGGGCTGAATTTTATCCCTGAACAGACTTATGATATTGAAGAACTGCCAGAGTGAAGAGTAGTATGGCCCATGGAGAAAAATGAACAGGCGGAAAGTGAGCCGGCATAAAACACAGGGAATCCAGAACCAATTAAATAAAAATCAGAAAGAACGCCGAGATTTCCTATATGGGAAATTATGGTGTCAGCTGAGAACATTTAAATATCTTGATGCTCTTTATACACCCAAGACAATTTAAATGCGAAAGTCCTGGGGTGGACCCATGCACGCATCAATACTCTTTACGGTCAGTTGGTGCATTGAATTTGAGAATAGTTAGTGTAGCCAAAACAAGACAGTCCAGTTGGCTAAAGATGGTGGAGGAAGGGGTTAAGTATACAATTCTAGTCACACTGAATTCAGTTTCCAAACTACCCCGGGCGTGTGTCGGGGGAGGGGAGGGGATGGGGCTGAATCTAAGGAAGAGCAGGGTTGTTTACGATTTTGGAGGAGTATTCATACATTCAATATTTATCTCTTCAAGTTTGTTAATTGACAGGATGCACCAACCAACAAATGTGGTCCTATTCCCCAGAGGGACTTATATTTAGAAGGCAGGAAAGCCCTTCCTGAGCAATCAGCTAGCATGAACTATTGTAGGTACTAAAGAAGAGGCATACTTAGGGCAGGAGAGAAAGGCTCAGCGCTCGTGGGGAGTGCTCAGAAAAGGCTCCGTTAAAGAATGAAAAGGGAGAACGAGGTGGTGGGAGCCTGGAGAAGAGGAAGCAAAGGCTGTGAAAAGATATGGAAGCTTAGGTTTAACACAACAGAGAGGGAAATGGAATCAGGTGAAAATCGTTGGGAAATAGCAGAGAAGAAGAAAGAGTGGGAGGAACTGTACCCTGGAGGAAGGAAGGAAGATCTCTCACGGAGATAAAGATGGAGCCTGGAGGATAGAGTTGCTCATCACAGGGCTACAGAAGTCAGTTTCCCATAGAAGCATAATTGGGAAGGGAAGGGTAATGTTTGGAACTGAACCTGTCCAAATGGGAAAGACAGAAGAGAAAGCTTCAGGAGCTACTCTAGAGGGTGGAGGCTTACATTTAAACACTAAAACAAGGAATGCAAAAGAGAAGGAGTGGGTATGTTACCCTTATTCTATCTCTATTGGGTCATCCTAGTCTGGGGTTGGTTAGCCTGGGGCCGGCCACTCGTTTTCATTGGCTGTGGCTCTAAAATGCTGATAACAGAGACTGTGTGACTTCTATAGCCATATCTAGTTCTGATAATCGAAATATTTCAATGGTAAGAAACAGAATCACCGACAGAATTCACTTGGATATGATAGCTTTCATTTTACATATGTGCAAATTTACCACCCCCAGTCCCTTCATTCTTCAGGCACCTTCCCCCAGAACCTACTTTTTTCAACGTGTGCCTACAATCATGGATCAGGAAAGGGTGGTATAGCACGGTGGTGAAAGTCACAGAATCTGGAGTCTAATGGTATTTCACTTACAGTGCGACTGTGTGAAAAATATTTGCATTAATTATTTTAATCCGTAAAGTCTGGTTTCATACCTACTATGGAACTAACCATGCAATAACTGGAGGACACGTCTAGTTTATGGTCCTAGCCAAAACACACTAGCATTTTTTGAGCAAGCACAGAAAAAAGAAAGAAAGAAAGCAGAACTCAGTGCCAGAAAAGTAGACTGCCTCATTTTTCAAGGTCTCACTTTGAATCAAACAGAATCCCTTAACAAGTAAAATGTCACACTCAGTCACCAGCTTCAAATATTGGCAGTAATATAGGCTCCAGAATCAGACAACCATGGCTCAAAATGTAGCCACGCCATTTAACAGCTCTATCTTCCTGAATCTCAACTTATTTATAGAAATGAAATGCATGCTTCTTTCCTTAGGACAGGAATGAAAGGTTTCCAGTAGCAGGCATTGGGCACATTTTGAAAAGTGGTGTCTCGTTTACTTTGACCTAACATCATGACTTACACATACTTACTTAAGTGCTTATCAGGGCTGGAGAGAGGGCTTGGCGTGCTTACAAGCATTTGCCCCTACAAGTATGAGGACTTGAGTTCGAATCGCCAAAAGCCACGGAAGGCTGGGGGCGCAGTAGTGCGCATTGGCAATCTCCGTGACCTTATGGTGCTGTGGAGGCAGAGACAAAATTTCCCGAAAGCTCCTGGGCCAGCTGGTCTGCCCTATGAAGCTTCAGACAAAAACAAAACAAAAACAACAAACAAAAAAATCCAAACCTCTGAGATTGTCCTCTGGCCAACACATACACACACAGTACTTATGTGCCTGTATACCCCCCCACAGACATCATACACAAAGATGCTTAGGAAGTGTTCTTAGAGCTGAAACTGTAAGGTTTGGGCTTCTGGAATCTATCTATTTATTCACCTATTTAAACTTTATTTGTTTGTTTGTTCATTTATTTATTTAGTTTGATTTTTCAAGGCAGAGTTTCTCTGTGTAACAACCCTGGCTGTCTTGGAACTAACTCCTGTAGACCAGCCTGGCCTCAAACTCACCAAGATCTGCCTGCCTCTGCCTCCCGGGTGCTGGGATTAAAGGTGTGTGCCACCACTTCCTGGCTAACTTTATTTTATGTATGTGAGTATTTTGCCTGCATACGTGTATGTTTGTGCACCTGGTGTGTACATGTGTGCACCTGGTGCCCATGCAGGTCAGAAGAGAGTGTCAGATCTACAAGAACCGGAGTGATGTGACTGTGAGCTACCAGGTGGGTGCTGGGAATCAAACCCTGGTTCTCTAGAGAAGCAACCAGTGCTCTTAGCCACTGAGCCACTTCTCCAGCCCAGCGGTATCAAGATATTTAATCCTTACTTTTGTCTAGAATTATGCCTCTCTTCTGACCTCAACTTGACCGGGGCTTCTAATATCCTTCTCCTAGACCACAGTAACACCGAGTTGATATTCACTTCTGAAAAAGCGTGGGATCATGGGGGAAGTGACAAAGCATAGAAAGAAATGGTTACAGCCACCGTAGCACCCTGGGGGGGGGGCAGTATCTGTGCAGGCACCGTTGAGAGAGGACATGGGTGGTCCTCATCAGCCACTGTGTCCGGGGCACAGTTTTCGCTACTCTTCCTCTTGTTCTCTCTCAGTCTTGCTGTGTAAGGAAATCAAACAGAGGGAAGCAGAAAGCCCGACCCCCTCTCAGTAGAAGCAGTGGGTAAATGATCTAGGGGGATTTTCAGTTCCTTCCTACTTCTTGTTCCCCATAGACGGTCATCTGCCCTTGAGCTAGTGCTGAATTTGACTTTCTCTTTAATCTTGCTCCAGGGCACACTTCAGGGAAGGCAAATGACTTGCCAGCGACCATAGCATGAAACAGAGACCAGGCTGATAACACCAACAGAGGTTTTCAACATGAACTGTAAAGACAGCTTGACCACAGGAGTGGATAAATGGCAACCTGTGAAACAGCTAGGGAGAGAGATAAACATGTCCCAGCTCATTATGAGAAACATTACCATAACAAAAATGTTGTGTTTTGGATTGTAGAATATCGGTGTTAACTCACTCAGAAGGAAGAAAAGGAGGAAGAAGATTCGAGAGCAATGAAAGTAGATGTTCGCCACTTGAAGCACAATGTAATTACTTTGGGCATCTATGCTAAAATATGTAAGACCAAAACATGAGTCAGGCCAGGTCCGCTCGCTCTTCCTAGTCTCCCTAGTTTCCAGGGGAGAAAAATCAGCTCACTATATATGTGGAGCTGAGTTCCAGATAACCACAGAAAGCCAAAATTACCACCAGCTCAGTAGCCCAGCCTCTCAGGAGACATCCTACAGATAGGGCGCTGTTTTATCTGATGTTGCCGCCTTAAAGGAAAAAGAAATCTTGGTTCCAAAAGAGAAGCTACAAAGGGGTTTGGTTTCTTAATGTGGATTTACATTCCAAACATATTTCCTGCCAGAGCCCCAGGAAAGCCCCCATCTCCTTTCATCAGTAGGCTGGAAAGTAGGGCTCCTAGGAGACTGAGTTAGAAGCCAAGAGCTTGTGTGGCGGCGTCCCGTGGTTCCTCTTGGAAACAGGAGAGAAACAAAGAGAATGAGCTCCAAGGAGGCCGTCGCTGTGCTAGACAGACAGCCCATCCTCCTCCCAATTCCGTCGACTTAAAGGGCAGGGCGCAAGAATCGGTTCAGGGATCTCTGGAGTGGGAATGGCAATAGGCTAGATCTCATCGTTCTGGAGATGTGTGACCATGACCTGAGAGGCCTACGTCCTTCTCTTAACTTAGCAATATTCCTCAGCTCTGTGTTTGCAACCACCCCACCTCTAAACAACCACCCTCTCTAAAGGGAGAGGAGCGGTCTTCGGCCCTTACGTGGAGATATCGGAGCTAAGCTCTGAGTTTCCAGGCCTGAGGTGCGGGGCCACAGGGCTCCACCTGGGCTCCCAGCCCACCTAGGGTCACGCGGCGCGGGAAGCGCCAGGCGTGCGCAGCAGGTGCGCCAAGTCCCCGGGGTCCCCACCGGGCGCGCTGCCTGGCGCCTCGCAGCGGCGGCGAAGGGCTGGAGCGGAGCGGAGAGGAGGAGCCTCGAGCACCGGGCGGGTGGAGTCGCCAGACGGAGGGCGGTGGAGGCGGATTTCCTGGGAGGGCTCTCTGGAGCTACCATGGCGTTTGGGAAGAGTCACCGCGATCCCTATGCTACCTCCGTGGGTCACCTCGTAGGTAAGGAGGCGCGGGGTGCAACATCCCGGCTGGCTTTGGGGACCGTGGGAGCGCTGCCCGCTAGACTCCATTCTCGACTGTTGCGGGCCGAGTTGGACCAAGTTGGAGGAAATGCTACCCTCCCCCGCAGCTTTCCCACGCCACCTGTGTGTGCCACCTGAGGCAGCTGTCCACCTTTCTTTCTTGGCTCTCTTATACCGGAAAAAAAAAAATACAGAATCTCCCTTTGGATGTCAGCTGGGCGAGTAGAGCCAAGCAGGTGACCCGCAGCACTGAGTGGAGTGTTGGAACCGCTGGGAGGAGAAAGTGGAAACTTCTTGACCCGGGCAAGGTTCTTCATAAAGTGCGTTCACTCCCATCTCTTTATTGTTATACCCATTTTACGGACCAGGAAGAGAAGGCTCAGAGAAGCAAATTAGCATGACCTCACCTGGAGAGGCAGGTTTCTCCAAACCAATTTTCTCCAGCGCACAGCGCAAGCGAACTGAATGGCTTTTTGCTTAAACAGGGAGATTGAAAGTGTGTGTTGGTGGTGCTGAGGACGGAGAGAGGGGCCCTCTGAAGTCTCAGAGGCCCCCAAGCGTCGCCCTCCAACCCAGTATTGCTCTCCCTCTTCCCGTGTTCTTCTGCTCAAAAGTCGCTGACTACACTCAGATCCCTTCTTTCTCCCAACCCCTCCCTTGAGGACAGGGTGTGGCACCAGGACATATTAATGACAGGCAAACTGTCGGGAATTTAGTGGGGTGATGAAACCCTAAGATCCTGGTAGTTGTAATCAGGGCTTAGATTCGCAGAGTTTAGGCAGAGGGTATGTTAACCGCTGCAGGGACAGGGAACACCTTTGAACCTGAATCTGAGTTTCCTTGAGGAAAAATACTTTCTTTTCTTTCTTTTTGTTTTGTAGTACGTAGTAGAATGAGTCCTGAGCAGAAATGGATCCATGCTGAATCTCCAAAGGCAAAAGAAACTCCAACAATATGTCAGGTTATCCTTTAGTTCTGTAAACACTCAGAAACTACCAGCTAGATGCCTTCGGGAAGGCATAGTGTCAACCTTCAGGGAACTCACGAGCTTATAAGGAGAATACTACATAATCTGTAGTAACCACTCTAAGAACCTTTACAATACTAGAAAACATCTATGGCACTCAAAACTTACGAAAAGGGGGAAATGAACTCAGCCGTGGCCTTTGAAGGGTGGATAGGAGTTCTCTAGGAATGAGCAGTCGGGAGGGAGGAGGATGGATCTGGCAGATGGAAGAGTAATGCCCTTCCTAACAACACGGGCAAGATTGCTCAGCTTTGGTTATTCAGTGCTAGACTCAAGTCTCACACTAGGGTTTACCCCATGCTTGGGGATCTTTGTCATAGAAGCCAGTAAACACACTTAACTAGCAAAATTACAGTTATGAAGTAGCAATGAAAATAATGTTATAGTTGTGGGTCACCACAACAGGAGGAACTGTGTTAAAGGGTTGCAGCGTTAGGAAGGTTGAGAACCACGGCATTAGAGGCTCTGACCCTCCTTTTGTGTTCTTATAGAGGCTGTCTAGAGAAGGGGATGTCAGGGCGCAAGTGTATAAATCCGCCTGTTAGAACTGTGATGCCAGGCGTTGTCTTGCTTGGTTATTGTGCTAGCTCTTCCCTTTTTCTCACCCCCCCCCCCACCAAATACATAATTTAAAAATACAAACAGTGGAATCAAATAATCTTGATTTGAATGCAAGTTCTATTTGATATGTAACGTTGGATAACTTCTTTCCTCTCTCCGAAATTCTTTCATCATCTGCACCTGGGCTCAACGAGAAAAAGACTTAGTAGCGTGTAAAAGGGAAAGTATTGGCTCAAAATGCCCAAGACCAAGTTCTCAGCACCAAAGAGATTTATTTGCCCCAGAGGGACAGGGGTCAGGGAATAAGAGACAAACACAGGAGACAGAGGATGAGGCAGAAGGGGAAGGGGAACAAGAGAGAGTAGAAAAGAGGTATTTGCCCCAGAGGACAGGACTGTCTCTTGATAGAGAGGAAACAGAAGTGGCACGTAGGAAAACTGCAGTTTTTAAAGCTACAAGGGAAAACCCTGTGATAGGATAAGATGTTTGGTTTTAATTGGGCATGTTAATTAGATGAGCCAAAGGGGGCACCTGATTACTGGCCTTCAATACTTTAATAGCTGAACCTTGATCGGCAGCCTCAGGAGGAGGAAGTGGCCAAATAAGGGAATAGACCTTGGGGGCTAGCTTTAGGAAAGTAATTTAGTGGTTTTTAGTGTGACAGAGGGAATGGGAGGGAAGAGCAAGGCCTGCCAGGGCCCTGTTTGCCTGACCCGGGCTGGCTAGAGTCCCTTCAATGTGTAGTACACCTTGCCCGTGACTACCCGTGTGCCAAAGGGCTGGTTTCATCTTCTGCAAGAGCCTGGAAGATGGAAATTTAACTGGTCTCTTTTGGCCCTGTGGCCAGCTGTTGTAGGTTCTCTTAATGGTTAACTCATTACTGTTACAACAGCAGCCCTCTGAACCTGACTTCTGATTGATTCCTGAATTACAGGGAATTGTTTAGGAGGGGAAAAAAAGAATCACTTTGCCCTTTGGTAGCATGGACTTCATAGTACTTGTTAGTGCACCAGGCAGATTATTTCAAGGAGACAAGATCTTTTTTTGTGCCGTTGTGTCTCAGACTCGACATAAACAGCTCTATCTTTGCAGAGAAGGCTACATTTGCTGGAGTTCAGACTGAAGACTGGGGCCAGTTCATGCATATCTGTGACATAATTAACACCACGCAGGATGGGTAAGTTCACGGTGGCGTCTCCGCATTTGTGCTCTGATAAGATATGTCAGAACTGCGGCATGCTTTCCCTTGCCAAGTTTTGGGTGTTTCGCTGAAAGAATGTTTTGATGTCCTTTAGGCACCGCCTACCTTGTGAAGATGGCAGGCTGACCTTGGGGACAACTCCTTACCCAAGCGTGCAGAGTCCCCAAGAATTCATTTGAGCTTGTCCCCTCCTTTTGCCTTTTCTTTATTAGTTTAGATTTTGTCTTTGTCTTGCTCCAGTTACTTGTCTGAAAAGTTTTTTTTTTTTTTAGAGAAAGTTAAATTATTATTTTTTTCTTTAGAACTTTCTCACGCTCTGATTGCCAGTGTTTTATGTAACAAAAGCATTCTCCAGAAGCTGCAAGCTGGGTGGCTTTTGCTGGTGTCCAGGCCAGTGGTGACCAACCCTCTTGGTTATTCAGGAACAATCGAGCAGTCTTTTCTCTCCTTGTCAGGGCACAGTGTTTATCCTTCATCTTGCCAGCTCACCCTGTTCATACCGCACTTGTACAAGATGTGCTGCGTAGTGATATACTATCTAAACTTGAAGTCATTAAAAAGAAAGGGAAAAAAAAAAAGAACTTTACAAGGACTTCTACTTTGAATTTAATCAACTGTAGGTTATGATAAAAGGTGAAACTTGCTCACCTCCCTGAACATTTTTAAGGGATAATGGATAGAAAAAGATTTAGTCTAGTGTGTGCTGATGTAGAAAACATGGCAACATAATTATTGGTTATGTATTAACCTTTCTAAGAGTTTACAAATTTTTTTTTTGTAAAATGTGTCTGTATGTGGTATACATGAAGGTATGTGTGTTCACATGTGTGTGAGCACACTTTAGTGTAGAGGCCTGAGGCTGGTATCAAGGATCTTCCTCAATTGCTCTCTTTCCGATCTGTTGGGTCAGTGCTTCTCAGAGAAACCCAGAAATCTGCAGTAAGGCTAGCTGACTAGCCAGCTTACCCCAAAGACCCTCTCTACCTGCTGAACAAGCATTCGAATGAGAGGCAGCATAATCCGTCCACCGTAAATTTACCTGGGTCTGGGGATCCTGACTCAGGTCCTCAAGTTTTGTATAGCAGATGCTTTACCTATTCTACATCTCCCTAGAGCCACATTTATAATATTACATGCCCTGTAATATTGAGTTTAGATCCTCTATGAGCCTTTTCATTACTATCATCGATTTCTTCATTGATCATGCAAAAGGGAAATCTAATAAAAGTAGATTTTGACTCTCTCCATGCGGCTCTTCCTAACAAAAAGTTGCAGCATATCAGAATTAGCAAGCTGCCGTAATTCCTAGATCCCCTTACAAATGCGGTCCTCAGGAAATGCTGAGAATCTGAAAGGGATCACTTTTCTTTTGTTGTTTTAGGGTTCCATTTCTTGTAACCTGATTTTGATCCTTGATAGAAGCAGGTGTGCACGCATTTCATAACCAGTGTTTTCTGTGCAATACGCTTACGTAAATTACTTAACTGCATCTCTGGGGCGGGGGGGGGGGGAACGACAGTTGTTGTGATCTATCTCTTTCACAAGGAAACTTAGATGTGGTAAATTAAGTGGCCCACCTATGGTGGCAGCGGACTCCCACGCCAGTCTTTATTCTTTAAGCCCTTCCTGTTTCCATATTGCACATTGCTTTCATAGAGACGGTTTCTACCTCCCAACTGATGATTTCAATGTGTTTATTGCCACAGGCCAAAAGATGCAGTGAAGGCACTGAAGAAAAGGATCTCCAAAAACTACAACCACAAAGAAATACAACTTTCCTTGTCAGTAAGTACTTTTACTGCTACAGTTAAGATTGTGGGGTTTCCTTGCCTAGAAGTCACATTTTTCATGAGTTAAAAAGCATAATCATAGTCTAAGAGATGGCCGCTGGGTAATGATGTTCTGGACCATGTGACTTAAGTCTTCTCAGCTATTGAGACCTGCAGAAGGGAGGCCACTTGACTCCAGTGCCATCTAATTTTGTAGAAAGAAAATATTCCCACAGAATCAGTTTTTCCCCCAATCAAGATCTTGGAACTTGTGGTTTCAGACTAGTAGATGATAAAGGGGTCAGTAAGTGTGTGTGTGTGTGTGTGTGTGTGTGTGTGTGTGTGTGTGTGTATTTGTTTGCTCTGTTTGAAGGAGAAACTTGAAGTTGTGAAAGATGGCTCCCTGGCAGGCTTCTACCTCCCTTCAGCACCACTGTAGAACCTTAGGCCACTGTCAGCCCTTATGTCTCAGCCAGGTTACTCTGATGATGAAATCTGTGGAACATTCCCTGTCGCTCAGTGCAGTTCTCCTGGGCACCGTTTCTTCTGCCATGCAGATGCAAGCTCTTATCGAAATGGTCCCCTTGCCCCCTGGGTATGACCATATGCCTCTTCAGTTACATTGCTGAGTTGCCCTTTTTACATTGGAAATGAACTGTATGTCTTCCTCATTTCTTCTGGAAGTTAGACCACACATAGGTCTGGCCAACATCACACTGTTTTTAGGAGTAATGACAGTGTTTTCCAGAAGGCTGAAAGGCGGATGTGGTTATAGTTCCCACTTTGTAGGTTCAAGTGGAATACAGAGGCTAAATTCAGTTATGAGAGAAATTAGTCACAGAAGGAATTGCCCCATGTCTGTCAATGGCAATCATAAGTTTACCAATAGAATATTCAAAAACTCATCCCATATGTGAGCTTTCAGTTTTATTTCTGTGAAGTGCTAGGAGCCTAAGTCAGTGATGAATGTTCTTAATGTTGTCTGTCATTTTGAGTCCTCCATGAACTTGTTACTGTTGATTGGGTCTTTGACATAATCTGACTTCTCTACCATCAATTAGTGGCATAGTTTTAGCAAGAAGGCAGTAGCTTTTTTGTTTTTCTTTCACAATGCTGTAGACAGAATCCTTGCCCTTGTGCATTCAAGACTCGGGCTGTGCCCCTGAGATACATTCCCGAGCCAAGAAGTCAATAGCTCTGCTTTGCCTTGCATTCAGTGTTGGTTCTCAGCTTGCTTGCTCTAAGCTAGAGAGCCCTTTCTAGAATGAGTCAATTGTGACTAACCTCAGCAAATACTTCTGTCGTTGTCAAATGCAAAGTGGTTGAACAAGTTCCTGAGAGCCGGTGAATGTAATAGTACTTTATGGAAGACGCACTAATAACGAGTTACAGCGATTTTAGGAGATATGTAAAGGGGAGTATCTCCCAGTAGTTTATCACACGAGAGAGGGGAAGAAGGCAGCTTTCTCCTAAATGTGGCTATTATAATAGAGGAGCCCTGCCTTGACGGGCTCGCTTCTGGTCATCCAGATACAGCTCTGAGATCTAGTATTGTCACTGTACCTCTAGTGAGAAGCAAAACTGCACAGCCGCGCTTTTTCTCCCAGCTGTCTGTGAAGATTTTCTTATTTCTGCTGCTAACCACATTCTGTCATGCTGGAATATTCTCTATAGAAGCGGATGGTCTCGGTAGTTATCCTTTGCTGAGGTCCTGCTTTGTGCCTCCCTCTCAGATCCATCACATTTCACACGACAAGCTCCTAGAAAGGGGCACAATGCCCGTTATGCAGACAGCGTTGCCACAAGTTCACATAAGTGATTTGCTTAACTAGGCACAAAAATAGATCGGTAAAGCTTTGAGTCATTCGCGTCTGCTTCCCTCGGTTGCTTGGTTCCTGTCGCTCTCTCTCCCACTCCAGATTATGGATTTCCACTTAGCCCGTTTCCAAATCAGGTTACCCGAGGACATTTTCACCAGCACTAGATAGCAAAATATGTTCTGCGATTCCTAAGTTTGCTCATTTACCACAGCATGTTTTAGGGTCCATGTGAACTGTGGTGGGGGGGGTGAGGATTGGAGACATAATGGGGGAAATGATACAGAAATAATGAGCCCTGACGTTCCTGATTCCAGCGGAAACCCACAAAGGGCATAATTGCTGATCTCCAGATGTTAACACTCCCAGAACTGCGTGTTGACTGTTATATTTGTGCATGTACCTTCCAGGAATGTTACCCCATTACCATAAAATATTAACATGCCAAAGATAAAGATTGGTTTGGGCGATACTTAGCGAGAGAGTCATCATTTACTTTACTGTAAGCGAATGGGAGACGTGGCAGCTAGACATCTTATCCAAGACTGTACAAACAGTTGGATAAGTATTTCCGTAAGTTCCCGTTGAGTAGATGGCCTTGTCTTCAGCCTCTCGCCCACTGAAAATGCTCTTTAATAGTTGGTTAAGCTCAGCATCATTTCTATTTTCCCTTTTCAATCCCGTCTAGCCAGCTTACATCAGTCCACAGTCATCTCACATTGGTGCGGGCTCTGCCTCTCTCTCCCTTTGCTTTTTGTGTTTTAGTAGCTTCATGCCCACAGCTTCGATATTTTCTGGTCGCGTCCATGGTCTCATTGCTTCAAAAGCAGAGCTTTGGGACCTGCTGCTTACTTTTTATATTTCATGAAAGTGACACTCTAAATACAGCACACGTCGGGAAGTCAGGCGCCAGGGCCGCTTTCCTGGTGACAGTTTCCTGGTCGGGCCATAGTTTCTTTTGGTCTCCCAAACCAGAAGTGGCATGGTGATTTTTAGTTTCACCTGTAGTTCGGTTTTAGAAATCAGCTTTCTTCATGCTGTTTTTCCACCCCAGTTCATTCTTTTATTAGCTCGCTCTGTGCCTGTGTTGTTTTATTCAAAATGGCAGATGTTTCCACTAATCGGTGAGCACATTTCAGGTGTCTGTCCATATTAGTAACCGTTAGCACCCTTCCTATTGGAAGCTTTTTTTTTTTTAACTTTGCCCACATTATTGTCCTTCCTTCTTTTGTTCCTGCCTTTTTTCCTTTCTTTTCTGTTGCTTTTTCACAACCTCCCTTGCCTTTCACTGACCCAGTGTCTCCGGCATCCCTCCTCTCTCCTTCCCTTCGGTGACCTTGATGGCTTCCTCGTGGCCCTTCACTCTCCCGACCTGCAGCTGTGCCTGTAGACTTCTCTGCTAAGCATATTTGAATGTCTGCTTTTCCTTTCAAACCTAGAATGCCTCATTTTTCCCCAACCACTTTACCTAGGGTCCCCAGTCGTATGATCCCACCCACCCTCATCCTTCCATGGAAGGGACCCTCAGCCCCAGGCAGAGTGAAGGTCTCTTAGCGCTCAGTCTTCTTACTTCAACAAATACACACTCAAAATTCTTCCTTCATGTTCCGTTCTTCCTGGTGAACTCAAGCCATCCTACTTCATCCTTTCCTATGTTGGTTCTGGACTGATGAGCGCCTACCAGATCTCCCTTTCACTCCAGGGTGGTCCACCTTCCAATTTTCCTAGGTAGAGTACTGCTGGTACCTGTCCACAAAGAATTTTTTATAGATGCTGTTGACAAACAAATTCCCTTCAGGGACTCCTGGGTAATGTCCAGACTCTATCCTGCCAGACAAACACCTGTACGGTCTAGATGGTGCCCTCACAGGCTTTATCCACGGTACCCTTCCAGCGTTTTCCATTTGCTGACATCAAGAAGCCCCTGCTAGAGACAAAGCAGAGTACAAATCTCCCACTGTGACACTTCCACACTGACACCTTTATATTTTGTGCACATGATTTACATTATTCTTCTTTCCAGGAATCCCTATACGATCTACCTAAAGTAGCTCGTAAAGAAGGTTCATTGTGGTTTGTGGTTGCAGACGCTTATGATCCGGTAGCCTGTGGCTAGGCAGCACACCATGGCAGAGATTTGTGGCAGAGCAAAATCACTCGTCTTATGACTGGAAGGCGAAATGGACAAAAAGAGATCAGAGTTCCACGATCCCCTTTGAGGCTATCCCTGCCACAACCCAGAACTTCCCGCTAGCACCATTTAAAACCGTCTCTCCCCGCAAATAGCAGCAAGCTTTAAACACTGGGGTCTGCAGGGTGTTCCAAATGCAAACCATAGCAGCAGCATCCATCTAGAACACAGCTGTGTATTTATTTCTATTTTCCTTGGTCATTTTTCAATGCCCAGGTTGGCACCAGCCTTGTCTAAAACTCCCCCCACAATCACCTGACTCTGAAATAATCACACTTGCCTATAAAGATCTATTGCCAGACAGACTACAGTTTATTTTCCAAACCAGAACATTTAAGGGCGAGAGGGTGTGTTACTGTTAACAGAGCCAGGACACCAGGAGGTACCCAGCTGACCCTAGATAACCTGCGGCAAGGGTTACATCATCCAGCACAGCATGTTATGTTTTACGTGACATTGCGTTTGGCACGTGGCATCTGCTGCAATGTGCTGCTGAGTGCTCTGTTTGTACCCTGTCACCTCATCAGTTCTAGCCCCGGGGTACTTTCCTTGTGCGGCCTCTTCCTCATGATACTTGAACCTAACATTTCGCCATATAGTTTAGTCGTATAGGAAAGAAACGGTGTTCGTTAATTAGAACACTGGCGGAAATCATCCTCTGGAAGAATTTGTTTGGTCTTGGTTCCCTAGAGAACTGTCAGCATTGGACTGTGCTCTTTCCTTCAGCTGATTGACATGTGCATGCAGAACTGCGGTCCAAGTTTCCAGTCTCTGATTGTGAAGAAGGAGTTCATTAAAGACACTCTAGTTAAGCTGCTGAATCCCAGATACACTTTGCCGCTGGACATTCAGAACAGAATCTTGAATTTCATCAAGGTAAGTCTGTTCATTTATATCAAGGGATGGGAAGTTTCTAAGTGTAGACAGATAATGATGCAGAATGATCCTTTATTTACCTAATACTGAACCATAAAGCACTTTTTCTTTATTTTCTCCTTCTTATCCCCTTCCTTTCCTTCTTCTGTTCCTCCCTTCCTCCCTTCACTCCCTCCATCCCTCCCTTCCCTTCCCCTCCCCTCCCCTCCCCTTCCTTTCCTTCTTCTGTCCCTCCCTTCCTCCCTTCACTCCCTCCATCCCTCCCTTCCCTTCCCTTCCCCTCCCCTCCCCTCCCCTTCCTTTCCTTCTTCTGTCCCTCCCTTCCTCCCTTCACTCCCTCCATCCCTCCCTTCCCTTCCCTTCCCCTCCCCTCCCCTCCCCTTCCTTTCCTTCTTCTG